TCATGTGTGTGCCACGGCCCAAGGTCCGCATGGGTTTTTCCCCGATAGCACAAATATTACATGGGCACTGTCGCGCTACAACAGAAACTACAGCAGCCTAGCAAACCCAGGAATACGCCAGTTGTGTGTGGTCTCTGCAGTGGTATAAGGTGTTGTTGGCTGCTGCTGCTGCTTGTTGGCGTGTGTTGATGTTTGTCCTTGGTTGCTAATGTTTTAGATTGTTCGTTTGCAGGATGTTGTAGTTGTTTGTTAATGGTTGGTGTAGTTCGATGTTGTTTGATGTTTTTCCCCACATCCAAAGTGGGGTTCTTGTTTTCTCTGCACACCCCCGCGCAGGAGAGAGATCTCACTCACCCCCTCTTCTCCTCGCACTCATTCACACACACATCATCATCACTCGCACTCTCTCACACGCTCACGAACATCATCGTCATCATCGGTATCGGCATCATCCTCATTCAAACATCATCATCGCCACCACCACCCACAATCAATCATCATCCTCTTCACCACTCATCTTCACCACCACTCATCATCCTCATCCTCATCATCGTTGAGTAAAGTGTGAGGAAGTCTCAGGCGGGAGCCCCCTCCCTATGGGGCCCGCAGATCATGTTGGTAATCCGAGCGGGTCATCGGAACCCTGTAACTGTCGTCACTTTTGGGCTCCCCAGGCCTGAAAATGGAGGAAGTCTCAGGCGGGAGCCTCGTCTGTGAGTGAATTGGGAGGAAGTCTCAGGCGGGAGCTCCCTCCCTATGGGGCCCGCAGATTATGTTGGTAATCCGAGCGGGTCATCGGAACCCTGTAACTGTCGTCACTTTTGGGCTCCTCAAGCCTGAATTTGGAGGAAGTCTCAGGCGGGAGCCTCGTCTGTGAGTGAATTGTGAGGAAGTCTCAGGCGGGAGCCCCCTCCCTATGGGGCCCGCAGATCATGTTGGTAATCCGAGCGGGTCATCGGAACCCTGTAACTGTCGTCACTTTTGGGCTCGTCAAGCCTGAATTTGGAGGAAGTCTCTGGCGGGAGCCTCGTCTTTGAGTGAATTGTGAAGAAGTCTCAGGCGGGAGCCCCCTCCCTATGGGGCCCGCAGATCATGTTGGTAATCCGAGCGGGTCATCGGAACCCTGTAACTGTCGTCACTTTTGGGCTCCTCAAGCCTGAATATGGAGGAAGTCTCAGGCGGGAGCCTCGTCTGTGAGTGAACTGCGAGGAAGTCTCAGGCGGGAGCCCCCTCCCTATGGGGCCCGCAAATCATGTTGGTAATCCGAGCGGGTCATCGGAACCCTGTAACTGTCGTCACTTTTGGGCTCGTCAAGCCTGAATTTGGAGGAAGTCTCTGGCGGGAGCCTCGTCTTTGAGTGAATTGTGAAGAAGTCTCAGGCGGGAGCCCCCTCCCTATGGGGCCCGCAGATCATGTTGGTAATCCGAGCGGGTCATCGGAACCCTGTAACTGTCGTCACTTTTGGGCTCCTCAAGCCTGAATATGGAGGAAGTCTCAGGCGGGAGCCTCGTCTGTGAGTGAACTGCGAGGAAGTCTCAGGCGGGAGCCCCCTCCCTATGGGGCCCGCAGATCATGTTGGTAATCCGAGCAGGTCATCCAAAACCTGTAACTGTCGTCAATGTTGGGTTCTCGCGCTGCCAGAACGCAGTTCCCAGGCCACACTTTGGATGCAACAAGGAAGTTTTTGGGCTCCTCAGGTCGCCGAGGTGCTGCGACAGGGCGCCGAAGGCGCCGACGACGACGGCCAGGCCGAGGCGCGGGCGCGGAGCTTGCTGATGTTCAGGCCCAGCGAAAGGGAGTTCACATGGCAGAGCTCGGGGGCGCACAGCGTGCGCCGCTCGGGGTTCACCCTGACGCACGCGTCCTACCTGACCTCCACGCTGTCGCAGGGCCAGACGCTGCGCAAGGGCGTCACCATCGACTGCGCGAGAGACGAGGACGCTGGCCGCACGGGCATGTCGGACGAGCAGTGGTGGCTGCACCTCTACGTCATGTTCTCCCGCGCCACGTGCATGCGGAACATGCTGATCCTGCGGCCGCCGCCGCGAGAGTTCCTGGAGTGCGGGCCGCCGGCGTCCCTGCGGAAGGCGCTCCTGGAGTTCGACAAGAGAACGGTTTTGTCCAGGGCGGAGGCGAAGCAGCTCGCGGCAGAGCTGGGCTTCGTGCTGCCTTCCGCCTGAGCGCGGCTGCGCCTCGCTCGAAGCCCGCGGGGTTGTCCCAACGGCTTGGTCTTGCGCGCCAACGGCTCGCGGGGTTGTCCCGACAGCCTGGCCCGCGGGGTTGTCCCAACGGCTGCGCGACGTGACCTGTAGAGAACGCGCCTGTGCTGGCCGTGGCGGCGACGGCGCCGAGGAACATCGACATGCGCGCTCATGCAACAGGAAGGGGAGGAGGTGGCGGGGCGCGGAACAAACAGGGGGGCGAGGATGGGGACAACGTAAGGAGTGGAAGGGGGGCCCGCGCCAAGGCGAGAGGAAATATACGCAGAAGAGACAGCCAGGACGCCTCACCAACCACGAGGACGACGGTGATGGCTTTTTCCAGATTCGCCCAGAGGATTCTTATGTGGGGTTCTTCCGTCGGAGTAATTGGTTGTTGTTTTGATGTGTTCCGTTGATGTTGATACGTATTGCTTGTGTTTGTTGTTGGTTTGGGGTTGCTGTGTTCATGGTCTCTGGGATGCTTGCGAATGTTAATGTGTGTTTGCCATTTTTCGTTAAAGAGCTAGAGTTCCCATGATTGTATTCAGTTGTGTTGCGGATTTCATGCGTTTGCATGCTTCCGCAATTTGTCAGCTGGTCTTGAGATGTTGTTCGGTGAAGGGACGGTGAGTGGTCGGTTGTGGTCGGTGGGTGGTCGGCAGGTAATCGGTGGGTGGTCGGTGGGGACCATTCACCGACCACAGAAATATCCCAAACAGCTGACAAATTTGTGGAAGCATACAAGACATGAAGCCCGCATCAAAAATCCATGAAATCATACAGAAACGCAGTTCTTAACGAAAAACAGCAGTATCAACTTGAAGTTAGCACCCCCACCCAGAAAAAATGTAACACAACAAAAAGAATAACACAAAAGACAAAGAAACATAAAAAGAGCAACCAGAAGCATCAACATAGAACTAAAAACGACAAAAATATCGGAACACCCCAAAATCAACAAACAACTACACAATCCTATAACCAAAAAACAACAGCAAACGGCAACAATCGACAACAAAACGTCAACACACCCGAAATCGTATAACACAACAAAACCAGCACACAACTGTTGGATTACCGGGTTTGCTGGGCTGTTGAATTTTCTGTTGCAGCACGACAGTGCCCATGTAATCCGTGTGTTATCAGGCGGAGAAAACGCATGCGAACCCTTGGGCCGTGGCACAGAAGTACGCACACACATGACGACGACGTTGTTTGGTACATCTGGGCCCCCAGTCATCGTCGTCGTCGTCGTTGTCGTGTCGTCGTCGTCATAATCATCATCTTCACCATGACCGTCGTCGCCATCGTCATCGTCATCGTCATCGTCGTCTGCATCGTCGTCGTCATCGTCGATATCGTCGCCATCAATATCATCGATGTCGTCGTCGTTGTGATTATCATCATCATCAGCAGCAGCAGCATCATCATCATCATGATCATGATCATCATCACCCCGCGTAACAAAACGCAGCACACACCAGCAGTGTTTGCTGTGTGTGCTGTGTGATTTTTGTTGCTGTCGTGCGATGTGCAAGTTTTGTTGCTGATGCGTGCAGCGTGATTGTTCCCAATCGTCCGGCGAAGTTGGGTTCTCGTTTTGGAGAGACAGCGCCCCGCGTCCTCTCCTCTCCTCCTCCGCCTCCCTCTCTTGTCGCCTCCTTGCTCGTGCGGTGCACATGTCACGGCCACGACGGATAATGAAAGCATCGTCTGAAGTTTTGGGGGTCTCCAGCTTCGTGGTTTCGGCGGCTGCGGGCTCAGAAGGGGCTCCGACTGGCGCGCCACGCCCCGACGCGGGGTTCACCATGGAGGACCGAGGAGGACGAGAACGGAGCGGGGGACGATCGAGGATGGAGGATCAAGGAGGAGGAGGAGGAGGTGGAGGAGGATTGAGGTCCGAGAGGAGGTGGAGGAGGAGGAGGAGGAGGAGGAGGAGGAGGATCGAGGCCCGAGAGGAGGTGGAGGAGGAGGAGGAGGAGGAGGAGGGGGAAGAGGAGGAGGAAGAGGAGGAGGATCGAGGAGGAGGAGGATCGAGGAGGAGGAGGATCGAGGAGGATCGAGTGCCGAGACTCGAGTGCTGTTGGACGCACCTGCCCCCCCTCGAACACAGGACCTCCAGAGACGCCCCCGCGCGCAGGCCCGCCGAGGGCCCTCGCCGATGCGGAGGCCTCCGCAGGGGAGCCCCCGCGGGGAGCCGGGGCCCCGAGGAGGAGGAGGAGGAGGAGGAGGAGGAGGAGGAGAAGGAGGAGGAGGAGGAGGAGGAGAAGGCGGAGGAGGAGAAGGAGGAGGAGGAGGAGAATGCGGAGGAGGAGAATGCGGAGGAGGAGGAGGAGGAGGAGGAGGAGGAGGCCCGAGCACAAGAGACCGTCCGCGAGACGCCCGACCCCGAGACCCCAGGACGGCCACGGATTTTCGGCGTGGGAGCGTCACGTTTTCTACAGGGCAGTTTTTAATACATAGGATTTTAAAACATATGTGATTCTTAATACATGATCGATTTATGAATACATGTATGCATGGACTCATCGTTGTTTTAATGCTAGATCCCTGCATTTTTAATACATGATCCGCACGCGGAGCGTATATTTAAAACGGCACTGTATGACAAGACCATCGAAACCCAGGAAGCCCAGGACACCCTGGAGGCAGGCAGGGTGCTTCTTGGCATGGGCCCCCGCTGTGCAGTCAAAGCCCACAGTGAGGATCCAAGGTGAAGATCCCAGAGGTCCGACGCTCGAGGAAAAACTGGGACGGCCGGCCTGCGGCCAGAACCTCGAGCCTCGAGCCTCGAAGCCTCGGAGAGCTCGGGCCTCGGAACCTCGATCCTCGAAGCCCGATCCTCGAAGCCTCGCTCCTCGAAAATCCTCGCATCCTCGATCCGGAAACCTCGAAGTCTCGATCCTTGGGAGTCCCATTTACCGCTCAGAGCTCCCTGGACATCAACACTGGCTCAGGATGGGCCAAAGAAGCAGGGATGCAAGTGCAGCCTTGATGAATCGGGGGCGGCCAAGAGGGGGGCGTCCAAGAGGGGGGGGGCGCAAATCATGGCCAGCGGCATGTGCGCGGCCCAGGGGGGGGGCCGGGGAACGTATTGAAATAAGAAGAGGCGCCATGAAATCTGAGGAGATATCATGGCCCCCGCCATGATTTGGAAGCTGGGCAAAGGCTGGCAAATCCGTGGCTGCTAAAACGGTCTTCCCGGAAGAAAAAAACAAATCCCCGGAATGAAGCTCAACGCACTAAATAGTAAACGGGCCGCTTCCCGGAAGAAAAAAAACAATTTCCCGGAGATGGAGCTCCGTGTTGGCAGCCACGGGTTTGCCAGCGTCGCCTGGCTTCGGACCCCCCCCCCTAGTCATCACCCCCCTCTTGGCCGCCCCCGAGATGCAGCACCGCTGCACTGTGGGTCTTGACCGTCGCCGGGGCCCGTCAGCATCTCGGGGGGAACGACAGGGGGGGATAGCAAAGGGCAGGGTAGAGCACCAGCTCACGCAGCTGATTGTCCGAGCGCCTCCCGGCGCCGGGCGCACATGCATCGAGGCATGGGCCCGGCGGCGGGGCCGAAACCAGCGGCACGCAGCAGACTTCGTAGCCCCCCCTCTCCCGCATCCCCCCCTCTCGTTCGGCCCGAGCATCGATCGGGAGCGGCCAAGAGGGGGGTGTCCAAGAGGGGGGGGTGCAAATCATGACCGGCGGCATGTGCGCGGCCCAGCGGGGGGGCCAGGGACGCAATGACACAAGAGGAGGCGCCATGAAATCTGGGGAGGTATCATGGCCCACACCAGGATATCCGCCCCCTCCCAGTCATCGTCATCACCCCCCTCTTTTCCGCCCACGAGCATCGAGAGCGTGCGCCGCATCGGGCCACGTCGGCACGGCGTCTCGGCCGGGATCGGGTCGGGCATCGGCCGCGCCAGGAGAGCGCGGCCTCGCCGCCGAGGCCGCGAGCCGCCGCACTATCGCCCAGAGGTCGGCATCGCGTCGGAGTGGGCGGCCGGAATCGACAGCGGACGGAGCCGATCGGACCGAAGGGAAGCCCGCGGGTGCCTAGGGCGGGTCGTCTCGGTTCTGGCTCTGCGGCAGGTGCGCTCGGCAGCCGAGCGCCACTGCCCAGAGGTGCCAGTGCGCCACCTCGGCACGGCCGACCTGACTGCAAGGCTGCGTCGTGCCGGGCCGCTGCACGAGGAGGAGGAGGCGGAGGAGGAGGGAGGAGGGGGGGCGAGGGAGGATGGGGGAGCGAGGGGTGAGGAGTGAGGGGCGAGGAGCGAGGAGAGAAGGAAGGGGGAGTGACGAGGAAGGAGAAGGAGGAGAGGGGGAGGAGATGGAGGAGGAAGAGGAGAAGAAGGAGGAGGAGGAGGTGGAGAAGAAGGAAGAAGAGGAGCGTGAAGAAGGAAGTGGAGGAGGAGCAAGGAGGAGGAGGAGGAGGAGGAGGAGGAGGATGGGGAGGAGCGAGCAGCCACGAGGACCAGTGTAAACCCAAGACGCATCAAAGATGTTGCAACACACCTCCCTCCAAATTCCCTCTTCATAAGTCCCTAAAATAATGCATGGCCATTGCGGGAAGATGCCCATTAGAAGAACCGTCTGGGAATCCTCAAACGTGAGAAAAATGCCGCTCCTGGGACTTCTCGCCGCGGATCAACGAAACTGTTGCGTCCTGACAGTCCCAAACCGCACCCAAACACCATTCCTAGGACTTCGACACCGCAAAACAACGTTACTGTTGCGCCATGGCAACCCTCACTCGTGCCAAAACGACGTTCCTGGGACCTCGACCATACCAATCCACAAAAATGCTGCAAACTTTTCAGACGAATGCGCGTTTCGCGGAGACAGGAACCAATTTGAAAACCACCCTCCCTCCACCCGTGAGACCGTTGCAGACTTTCGAAACAGTGCGCGCGGCGCTGAAGCAGGAACCACACTTTGAACACCACCCGCCATCCATCCGTGGAATTGTTGCACATCTCAAGATTATGTGTTCTAAAAGGCAAGGAGGTTTCAGAGCGAAACGCTTGGCCCAACCTACCGACACGTCTCGGGGTGCGACAGGGAGGAACTGTTTATAATAGCGAGGGGTAGAGCGAGTAGGAGCGAAGAGGAGCGAGGACGAGGGGGAGCGAGGAGAAGCGAGAAAGAGGAGCAAGGAGGAGGAGGAGGAGGAGGAGGAGGAGGAGCGTGACCGAGGAGCGGGAGGAGGGAGGAGGAGGAGGAGGAGGAGGAGGAGTAGGGAGGAGGAGGAGGAGGAGGGAGAAGGAGGAGGGGGAGAGCGGAGGAAGGGGAGGAGGATGATTGAGGTGGAGGAGGAGGATAAGGAGGAACACCATGGAGGAGGAGGAGGAGGAGGAGGAGGAGGAGGAGGAGGAGGAGGAGGAGGAGGAGGAGGTGCGAGGAGCAGGAGCAGGAGGAGCGAGGAGGGACGCAGACGGACGCAGAGGGACGCGAATACCCAGACACCCCGCTGCCCTACAAATTCTTCGACGCCTGGGCCCCGGAGGTCCGGACCAGCTCCCTCGGGCCGGCTTCCTCGTCCCGAATCGATGTTTGACCACCTACCAGACCACCCCAACCCAACCCGAAGACCCGAATTTGACCCGAATTTCGGGTTCGGGGGGGGGTACGGGTTCCATATGTGTTTTTTCAATGTTCCCCGACCCCCCCCCACACTGGAAATGGAGGGAAAATGGCGGCCTTCGGGTTGGGTTGGGGTCGTTTGGTGGGTGGTGAGTTTTTGGGGCCCCGAAGCTCGGCGAGGACTAGCGAGCCCACAAAGGACGTACGCGCCAAGCTATGTACATGAACGCGGCCCTTGGATCCGCGAGACCTGCCGCGTTCTACGAACCTTTGCGCAATGCGTACTCTCGAAACCAGCGATGATTCATGTACGTGTACGCCCTTCTGTCGCTCCTGAAGGACCCCCACGAGGCCCCAAAGAGAGCCCCCAACCCGCCGCGGCGACCTTGGCCTGCAGCGTCGGCTCTCTCCGTGGGGGGCACGCCGCGGGCCCGCGGGCGGGCCGCGGCGCCTGGCACCACCTCGCAGCGGCGGTGCCCGAGCCCTGGGCGCGGCGGCGTCCTCTCTGCGGGCCGCGGCGCCACGCCGCCGCCCGGCCCGCGCGCGGGCGGGCGGTGCGCGGCCGCCGCTGCCGGGCGTGCGGGGGGCGCGTGGCGCTCTGCGCCCCTCCGCCGTTTCCGTCCCCCTCTCGCTCCTCCTCGCTGCCCCTCGCTGCTCCTCGCTCCTCCTCGCCCTCCTCCTCCTCCTCCTCCTCCTCCTCCTCCTCCCTCGCTCCTCGCTCCTCGCTCCTCATCTTCCTCGCTCCTCGCTCCTCGCTCCTCGCTGCTCCTCTTCCTCCTCTCTCCTCCTCGCTCCTGGTGTTTTGCCGGTTCGTCATGGATTCAGGCAACAAATAAACCTTGCGAATATGTTATTGTTCAGCGTGCTCAAGCGAATCTGCTTCCAACAACCTCAAGCTACGCCTCGGGGACGTAGTGCCTGACGCCGTGGCTCTTGTGTCCGTTAAACGCGAGCGCAGATTGGGGCGCGCACGTGCAATGGCAGGCCGAAGTGAGAGAGGCCAGCCGCGCGCGCACATCTGAGTGAACGCTACATATTTTTGCGAACGACGCAGCGCCAGCAGTGGCCCCGCCAACCCTCATTTGGAGGGGAGAGGCGGGGCAAGAGCCGAAAGCGAGGGGAGCGTCAGCAACTGCTCCCCCCGCGGCCTCCCGGCGCGGCATTGCCGCGCGCGGGAGGGCGCCGGCCTTTAGCTTGCCCCGCGCCGCGGCGGGGCGCGCCAGCGGTTTCGGCGCGCCCCTGAAGCAAGGGTCAGACTTCACCCCTTCCCAGGAGCGCTTCGGCCCCCTGCGGCGCCAACCGCCAGAAGCTTCCACGGCGCCCGCGGCAGAGAAGGGTGAAGGGGCCCCAGGACACACAAATGTTTCAAATGATATACACACGAGAAAACACATCCCCCATATTTCCCATGTGTTCCGGGTTTCCGTCTTCCCCCCCACTTCCCATATCTTCCCATATTTCCCTGGGAAATCGACGATTCATTTTGTCTGTGTGTCTTGCCCTCTCCTGAGAGGGGCCGCTCCTGCCAAGGCCTCGTTGGACAGGCCCAGGCCGGCCGGCGCACCCCGCCGTGGGCAGGGGGCGCGCCGGCGCCCGCCGCCCGGCGAGTGGCCCACATGGGGCCCGCGGCCCGCGGCCGTACGCCTGGGCCGCGCCAGAGCGCTCAGAGAGCACAGCTCCGCGGCACTCCAGGGGAGCGCGTGGAGCGCAGCGCCAAAAAGGCCCCCCAGGAGGAGGAGGAGGAGGAGGAGGAGGAGGAGGAGGAGGGAGGAGGAGGAGGAGGAGGAGGAAGGAGAGAGAGGAGGAGGAGGAGGAAGGAGGGAGGAGGAGGAGGAGGAGGTAGGAGAGGAGGAGGGGGAAAGGGGAGGAGGGAGAAGGAGGAGGGGGAGAGCGGAGGAAGGGGAGGAGGATGATTGAGGTGGAGGAGGAGGAGGATAAGGAGGAACACCATGGAGGAGGAGGAGGAGGAGGAGGAGGAGAAGGAGGAGGCGAGGAGGAGGAGAAGGAGGACGGGGGAGGAGGATGCCATTCAATGGTCTCACCATCGCCCACCCTCGCGCCAGTTGGTCGCCGCGGCCCCGGCTGCTGTTCCGGCCCCGCCAGCTGCCCGAGCCCCGCCCCGAGCTCTTCGACGCCCTGCTGGACATTTGAACCATGGCGCCATGGAGGGCGCGGGAGTTCAACATCCTCCTCCTCCTCCTCCTCCTCCTCCTCCTCCTCCGCGGCCCTCCATCGGACATCCGCGCGCTGCCCGCGGGGGGCCCAGGGCAGGAACTTGACGGAGCTGCCGCCGGCGGCGACGGTCTGCCGCGCAGTCCGCACCGGCCCTCGGCGACGAAGTGCAGCTCGTCGGCCCCGCGGCCCCCGACTTCCCCGGCGCTTCAGTCTGTCGTCCTCGGCGCCCCCATGTTTCTCACCCCCAGCGGGCGCGCGCGCGCGCGCGCGGCGGGCCGGTCCTTGGGCCGGACAGGTTGCGGGCGCTGGCCGCCCCGCCTGTCTTGAGCGCCGGGGCCCCCGGCACTGCCGGCGCAGCCGGCAGCTGCCGGGCGCCCCTCGTTTGCCGCCGCAAGGTCGGCGTCCTCCCGCGGCCCCCAATGCCCCATCACTTGCCGTCGCTCGGACGTCCATTTCCCGTGCATTGTTCGACTTCGTGCGTGTTTTTTTTGTTTGCTCGATGGTCCAGGATGGTCCTCGATGGTTCTCGCCGAGGAAAAACACACACACACGCCCGAGCGATGCCAAGATCAGCCCCCGCTCCACTTCCGTCGCCAGGTCCGCGGGCGCGGGGAGCACTTCGGGGCGACCTCTCACGGCGAGCCACTGCTCCCAGCCAGTCGACGGCATCTCACGATCGCAGTCCCAGTCGAACGGCCCGAACCGAGAAGTCATCATCCTGGAGAGCAGTCCCCCTGTTGATGCATGGCCACCGGCATCGCGGATGAACAGCTGCCCCCAGGCCAGTAAGCGCGCGCCTGGAACTTGATCCAGAGGGAGGGAGGGAGGGAGGGAGGGAGGGAGGGAGGGAGGGAGGGAGGGGAGGGAGGAGGGAGGAGGAGGAGGGAGGGAGGAGGAGTTTGCCCCGTTTCGGCGCATTCTTTTGTCCGAGTTAGGCGTGCCGGTCACTGCCCCGCCGCGGCCCTCGCGCTGCAGTTGCCGTGGTGTGGAAACTAGGGCTCCCAACTTCGCGCTTCGCGCTGCGCGAAGCGCGAAGCGCGAATAACTTCGCGCTCTCGCGCCGCCCTCCCCAAAGGAGAATAGGAGGACGAGGAGGAGGGGGAGAAGGAACGAGGACCGCGAAGCGCGAAGCGCGAATAACTTCGCGCCCTCGAGG